CTAGCAGTTCGAAAGCAAGAAACTGCAAGTAGATAAATAGGTACCCCTTTGGTGGGAAGGTAAGGTGTGCCTTGGTGTTTAGTCATGCTGGCCACATGACCACGGAAACGTCTTCGGACAGCGCTGGCTCTTCGGCTTTGAAATGGAGATGAGCACCGCAACCCTAGAGTCGGATTCGACTGGCTTTCGAGCAAGGGAACCTTTACCTTTACCTTTACACCCTCCTCCCCCCCCATCCACGAAGTAGCCGGCAGCTGGAACTGGGATTGATTAGTTATTCGCCATCTGATTCTTTGAAATGTTTTGTTAATGTTTTAACTGATTTTGTTTTGTTCTATGGCTTTTGTACACCGCCCAGAGCCCTGCTGTGGCAAGGGCGGGGCAATTCATAAATATAATAAATAAACTCCTGGTCCTTTCCACGAAGGCTGCTCAGGAACCTCCCCATCGATGGGGTCCTCTGGGATCAGACATGTCTGTTTCCCACTCTGTGAATTTTAAGTGGCACCCCAAACTTGCAAACCAAGTTTACCTTAGGGGAGGGCTACTTTGTTGTGATTTACAGGCCTATGGAGATGGGGGTGGGACATCTTGAGGCTAATGATGTTATTTCCAGTTGCTCTGGTGTACTTACACAGAGGAGGGGAGGGAGTTGGGTCAGCGTGTGCCTTCCCAGGCAGCCTGTGGCCAGGCAGATTCCAGAACCAGTTGTTCTAGGAAGTGAGCCGTTTATGACATCAAGGGGGAATTTCTCTGTCTGAACCACACCTTGAGGAAACATTCACCCAGGCACCATGAGGGCAGCTGATGAACTTTTGCTGGAATGATTTGCTGCTCCTGGTTGACCAGGGAGCCAGTCGCCTGCAGACATCATGAGACCAGGTCAGGGGAGGGATCCTGGGGTACAGGAATGGGATTTGTGTGTGGCCATGATCCCCTCCTAAGTCATACATTCGGGGGGGGGGGGTTTAAAGATGTACACCTGGGGTTCTTCCCCCCCCCTTTTTAACGTGTGAACATACAGGTGTGGTCATCACACTGGCTACAGCTCCCTGTATAGTCAAGCCACAAACCTGAGTTTAATGGATCAAGATAGGTAGCCATGTTAGTCTGAACTGCAGGCTGTGGAAGGTTGGTAGTTCAGCAGTTCGAGACCCGAGTGTCCCGCATGACGGAGTGAGCTCCAGTCTCTAGTTCCAGCTCCTGCCAACCTAGCAGTATGAAAGCAAGAAATTGCAAGTAGATAAATAGATACCACTTCAGTGGGAAGGTAACAGCGTTCCGTGCGCCTTGTTTAGTCATGCCGGCCACATGACCACGGAAACGTCTTCGGACAGCACTGGCTCTTCGGCTTTGAAACGGAGATGAGCACCGCAACCCTAGAGTCGGATTCGACTGGCTTTCGAGCAAGGGAACCTTTACCTTTACCAGTAGAAAAGAGCAAGAGTCCAGGAGCACCTTAAAGACAAACAAAATGTGTGGCAGGGCAGGCACTTTTGTGAGTCACTGCTCACTAGCTCTTTGTTATGAATACTTCAGCCTGTATCTTCCTGGTACCAAAATCATGTTTGGGGCTAAAGCTGGGTGAAGCCCTGGAAATGGCAGAGAAGGAGCTCCCCTCTCCTTTCCTCTGCTTTTTACTTATGGCTCAGACCAGGGCTTTTTTTGGTAGGAAAAGCCCATCAGGAACGTATTAGCATAATAGGCCACATCGAACAGCAGAAACTCATTAGCATATTAGGCCACACCCTGACACCATAGCTCATTAGTATATTAGACCACATCCCATGCCTTCCCTTGGGTTGCCCGGGCGCCCCATGATTGCAGGGAGCCCGGGCAAGCTCCCCCTTGAATGGAAGGGAAGACAGTTTAAACTGCCTTCCTTTGGCTTGCCCGGGTGGCCCATGGCTGCAGGGAGCCCGGGCAAGCCGGTCCTCTGTAGCCAGGCATGCAGAGGTTTTGGCTGTAGTGGGCGTGGCCAGCTCTGAAGCCCGCCGGAACTCCGTTCCTCTGCGTTCCTGCCCCAAAATAGCATTGGCTCAGACAAATTGGGTATTGATAGAGATGTCAGAAACCCACAAGAGCAAATGTTTGTGGGCACAAGGTGCTAAAAGGCACAGCTAGTGGTGTATTGCATGTGGGGGTCCCAATCACATGGATAGTTTCCTGCCCCCCCCCCAATATAATTTTGGCCTTACTGTCTTTGCAGCCTGGTATTGGCTTCCCCCTTCTTCCAATTCCAAACGGGCTTGGCCGTTACAGCCTGGCTCTCAGCTGGCCTGCTCCAGCCTCCACCCTTTCCCCTCTCATGGACAGCTTTTGATAACTTTGCACTGTTGCACGGAAACCACAGAGGCGTCTTGCGGCACTGGAAAGGCTAACAGATTTACCAATGCACAAATATTTGTGGGCAACTTTTGTCAGAGGCATGGACAGAATTCTCCCTCCTATAAGGAGCTGTGGATCTCCTTTCCCGTTTTATCCTCACAACAACCTTGTGGCAGCTAGGTCTCTGCGTTTGCTGCCATGGGAGTAAGGGGGGGTACTCTGGAATGTTAGCTTTCTATTCTCTGTGTCTTCATAGTTTCTGTTATTTGTCTTGCTTCAGCAGTTGACCTTGATGCCTAGTATAGTGAAATATACTGGGTTCGAGATGTGTATAGTGATCAGCTCATCGTTTATTAGTGATTTCAGCTTAACTTTAAGACAACTCTAGCAGGACCAGAGCTCTGCTTATATGCATACAAAACACACACACACACACCCATTCCCCGTGATAGGCTTTTTACAAAACATTACCACTTAATTGGTTTATTCTAGAGTCCTGGTCGGCTATTGTTCTTGTGCTCCAAGCTCAGCCAGCCTCTACGGTGATTCAATCAGCCAGTCTCTAGGGTGATTCAATCAGGGATGATTCAATCCCAATACATATTTCACCTGGGAAGAAAGACCCGTTTTTCTAGCGGGCTTTTCACCTGACCCCTGATTGGATCTGGGCCATCAGGAGGTTTGCTTGAATGGTGTATATCTATTTGTTACGTGCGCTTTTGGTCAGTTCTAACACGAGATGGTTATGACAATCTGCATATTATCAGTGTTCCAGTAAACTTTACTTCTTTGAATGAAAGCTGTTGGGAACTGATTGCTGCAGGAATCTGACACCTTGTGAGGTAGGCTAGACTAAGGTCCTCTTGTCCCTCCTCCATTCCCATCTGTCATAAGCTGTGCTAACCAGATGCATGCTGAGAAGTTTCAAACATGGAACTTGGGGGCCTGGTTCAGACTGGAACCACAGTGGACAGGAAAAGGGGGATTAAGCCTCTCCCCACAGGTCTCCAAGGAGTCTCCAAGGAGCCACTGTCACCCTCTGAGGGAAACTTATATGTACTGATTGCTTCTACATAAGCAGGGGTCCTTTCGTAGACAAAGAGGTTCAGGAGCTCATTAGCATAACATTTGCATATGCCTCGGCGCAGGCCGGGGAAGGCTGGGTGGGGCGCCCCGGAGGCCTTCCCCAGGCCCTGCGCCTCTGCGTGGGCCAGGGAAGATGGGCCAGGGAGGGAGGACTCTGCAACTTACCTGGCTGCTTCTTGCTCCAACTGAGGGCTGCTGGGAGCAGGGGGCGTGGTTTGTTGCATGTGCCCGCCCCCTGGGCTATTTACTGCCGGAGCGCCACTCCTGTGTGCTCCTGCAGGAAATGACCCCTGTACATAAGTCATCCCAAACAAGGCAAAGACCCGGGGCCATTTTAGGTCGGGACATGATGTAAAGGAACCGCTTAAGCTCTGTCTCCCCACATGCCACAGCCCCCCGCTGAATTCTGCCTCTGCATGTTTGCGAATTAAGTATTAAGTGCTGAATGCATAGTGGCATAAGTAGTTAACAGGACCTGTGGCAGAGGGCATCCATGCATTCCTATACATACTCGATTTCTGCCTGTCACGACCACACTTGAAACACACGGAGCTGGCAATCCTTCCAATATATTTATTTAAAAATACCCACACCCGCCCTTTCCATCAGAAGCACTACAGGAGAGCTTACATGAAAATACAACGAAGACCCAGGTACATCCCTGTAATCACAGCCCAAAACTAATAACAGAGCAAAAGGGGGGGGGGTTTGGAGGAGCAGGGACATAAGATAATCACCATGCTTAAAACAAACCAACAACCTGATTATTTTCTACCCCAGCCAGATAATTCAGACAGCTTACAGAAATAGACAAGAAACCATTCAAAACAGCCATAACAATCAAAGAATTAAGGCAGTGAGCAGATAAAACAATTGTGCAACAGTACAATTTGTGCAAAGGGAACAGAGGAAGATAGTAGAAGCTTAAAGTAAGGAATCAGAAAAGCCAGGCGGGATCGGAGCAATCAGTCCAATTTTTATCTCTCCCCCCCCCCCTAACTCCAAGGAGCCCAGGGCTGCATGGTTCAGCCTTCCTCTGACGTCGCCCCACAACAACCTTATGAGGTTGGCTGGGCTGAGGCACAGTCAGCGGCCAAAACCGCCCACCTATTTTCATGGCAAAGAGGGAGTCTGCACTCGAGTTTCTCCAGTTTTCCTCCAACTACTGACTCTGTGAGAAAGGCAGTGACACGCACCATTTTAAACTTCCAGGGAGCAGGCCTAAGAGTGCTTCTGAGCACGTGCAGAGCGCCTTTATTTGTCCTTTGTTTATTTACGGTCGTTAAACGTTTCTATTTCGCAACGCTTAGTTTAAAAAAGGTTCTCACGGAGGCAGCGTCCAAATCAGAGTCTAAAACAGCACTTTAAACCAACGCAATTAAGACAATCGTTAAAAAGCATCAACAACCAATCAAAGATTTCTTCTGAACGAGAGACACGTTCACTGCAAAGAGCTTTCCCTCCGCTGCGGCGCGCTTTTGCAACGCCTCGGAGGGCGAGGGCGCCGCCATCCCCCGCCTGTGGGCGCCCTCCTCTGCCAGCGAGCCCGCGGGCGCCCCCCCCCTGTCTATAAGAGCGGCCGGCGGGCTTCGACGGAGGCAGCGGAGGCAGGTAACCGTCCCGGTAGAACATCCCAGAGCCGGCGGCCAGGAGAAGCAGGTAAGCGCGACCGTCCGACCGCTAGCCGTGCGCTCTGGCTTCGCTGAGCGCCGCTCTGGCTCTCCAGGCGGAGCACAGCGGCTGGCTTTCTCGGAAGGAGCCCCCCTCCCCGACTTCCTTCCGAGCAAACCGAGAGTGGCGGCCTTGAGCCTGCTTCCTCCTGGCCTGGAATCCTTGCCATCCGTGAGCTTCGTGGACCCGGGATAAACATGAGGCAGCCCGGCTGGGTTTTTGAGGGGGGGGGGCGCAGCTGCTGTCAAGATCTACCCTTCCGCGGGTCCAAAGGCCCCTTGGGGGGGGGGAAAAAAAAGCCCCCCCCCCCCCAGAAGACTGCAGGGAGTGTCTGCTTTCGTGCGGCATCTCCTTCCAGGCTCTTCGGCCAGTTTTCGGCCCCCGATTCTTCCTCTTCCGGGCAAGAGGCGCCCGCTGAACTTTCCAAACTTTGCTCCACGTGGCCCTTCTGGCCCAGGTTGGTTGGCTTGTTTGTCTGTTTGTTTGGGAATGCGGGGGGGGGGGGGGAGGTATTTTTATTTCTTAGCAGTCCCGTTCGAGGCCGCGGAGCTCCTCCGAAATGAGAACTGCCGGGGATCGCCCTGTAGCGGACAAAAGGATCTCCGGCCTCGGACAAAATGGCCTTTGCGTCTCCGTTTTCTCTCTCCCATTTTCTTTCCTCCATTGTGTTGCTTCTGCTCAGCCCAGCCCCGGACAGTGCGAAATGGTGGTGCTGGTTATTTCGTTTCGCTTAAATCGTCGACAAGATTAATAATGCAATTGGAAGTACACGGGTTTGCAAGGCAAACTTTCCATCGCACGTTTCTCCTTTATGTTAGTAAGTCACAGAGGGTACGCGTAGGATTCGGAAGTCTCTTCACAGTGCTTCTGCCCTTTGGATGACATTAATAATCTGAAATAGTGGCCGGATCTGGAAGGGGTGCGGTATTGGTCTATTATAGCATAAAACACTTAGGATATTCCCCACCCCATCAAAACAGTGGTCTCATAAGACTGAAATGCATTTAGTAGGCGATGTTGCTGTGCAAAACATTCTGCACAGTCTGGAACTAAGAACGCAAGAGTTCCGGTGGACCAGAACAAAGATCCATAATTTGGCTCGCTGTGTTAAAATTCTCTGAGGGAGGAAAACTTCTGTTGCCTTTATAGTGAACAGAAGTCCATTAATCCTTCGGCCACACTAAGGGTGTTTGTTTCTGAGGTCAGCAAGATGCCCGGTTGCTTAATCTTAACATGGAATTTGTTTGTCCTTATTGTGCTCTTGACTCAGCCTATGAAAGTTGGTGTTTGTTTTTCCAGCTCTGTGCCTGTGTTGGTTTAGTGGCCCTGCTTCCTGGTAGAGTCTCTTTATCAATAGCTGGATCGCTCACAAGTCTTTAGTAAGGTGTTTTATAACCAGTACTTCTATATATATATTTACTTATTTGTTATTTAATAGCATTACTTTCTCACCAGGACTCAAAGGGGATTATTCAGAAGACAATGCAGGCAAATAGCATGGGTTGTCTAATAAGCAATGCGACAAAATGGGGGTTACAAAAATTAGAAAGAATGCAAAAAAAAAAAAAAAGACAGGTCAAAATGCTGGGAACGGCATTACAGATTTGGAAAACAAACACAGTAAGAGCAAGTTAGTACATCCCACACAGAGTAACATAGACTACTATCCTGTTCTCTTGCGGGTATGGAGCAGAGGTTAGATTGTCAGACTCAGATCAGGGAGATCTGAACTCAGATCTCATCTCCGTCATGAAGTTCACAGAGGTGACCTTGGGCCAGGCTTCCCTTCTCAGCCTATCCTATCCTCAATGGTTGTCATGATAAAATAAAGGCAATGGGGAACTATTATGCTTGGAGGAAAGATGGGATTAGAAATATAACTTAGTTAGATGTACATGTACTCTGGCTCAAGGATACTGGTTTTAAATTTGTATTAAAAGTACAGGAGACTTCTGTGCAAGTACAGAGTGCTCTTGTGATCTTGACATAGGTCGTAGATGAGAATGACACCTCAAATATATTTATTTATTTCATTTGTATCCCATCTTTCTCCCCAGTGGGGGGGACCCTGCTCTCCTCTTCCCTGTTGTATCCTCACAACAACCCTGCAAGGTTGGATTAGGCTGGGAAGGTGTGGCTGGCCCAAGGTCACCCACTGAGCTTCCATGGTGCAAGTGGGGATTTGAACCTGGGTCTTCCAGACACTAGTCCGATGCTCTTAACCACCACACCACCCTGGCTCTCAGTCAGTAAGCAGCCATAAAAGGATGCTGAACCAATGGGCTGCAAGCCTTCAGCAACAGTAAATTGGTAGTGGGTTACAGGTGGGGAGGGATGTAATAACTGAGCCAAGCAAATTGAGCTATGTATTTATTTCTCAAATTTATATTCCGCCCTCCCCGCGAACAGGCTCAGGGCGGGTCACAACAAATAGGCCATTCGGCATCACAGAGTTCGTTAAAACAAGGAATTTAAAAACAGATTGCACCAAATACTGCACAATCTCCGATACCGGTGCCGCTGGATCCTGAGGGTGATTCCGCACTAGACCTTAAATCCTGGGTCAACCCTGTCCCCGAACGTACATTCTATACTACACTCAAGTTCACCCCTGTAATTATCTCGGGGTATTTTTTGTTTGTTTGTTTCCACGTTACATCCCCGTTTTGCCCCACACTTGACCGGGATAAACCGGTGCTGTTATAACCAGGGATAAATGCAAGGTATTGTGTTGTGAGTTGAACTCTGATAAAAGTGCGGAAAGGACCTAAATCTGTTTAATCCAGGCTGCGTAGAAATGACGTCTTCGGCAGGGGAGGCCGACTATTTTTTCTGGACGCCCGCCACCTCAGCCGAGGGCCTCGCAGAACCGCTCCATTGTACAGGCCCTGCGGAATGATGGAAGGTCCCGCAGGGCCCTGCTCTCTCGTGGGAGCATGTTTCACCAGGCTGGGGCCAGGGCAGAAAAGACCCTGTTCCTGGTTGAGGCTAAGCAGACATCTTTCGGGCTGGGGACTACCAGCAGATGTTGCTCAGCAGAGCGCAAGGCTCTCTGGGGCACCTGTGGGGAGAGGCAGTCCCTTAGGTATGTCAGTCCCAGGCCGCTTGAGTCTTTGAAGGTCAGTACCATCGGTCCTCTGGAAATTGTGAGGCATTATTATTTAACTATATATTTATTAAATTTGATTTATTAGGCTGCCCTTCCCTGCAAGCAGGGCTCAGGGCGGCTTGCATCAGAAACCTTTGGCCTGCTGCCCAAAATACAATCTGGTCAGATGCAAAGCAGATGGTTATGGGGAGGGTGTTTCATGGAGACGGTGCCACTACTGAACATGCCCTGCCCCTGGTGCCAGCTGCATGGAGCAGGGCTTCTGGTGAAGATCTGACCTCTTGGGCAGTTTATTTTGCTCTTCTTCAATTAAATCGTACCATTGAGGCGCACCATGCATTTGACGCAACAAGGGAGGAAAACGCCTTCCCTAGAGGAGCCTACTGTAATGTATTCGATAGCTGCCATTGCAATACATGAATCATCTAATTGAAGTACAATGTTAAGCTTCGTCCTGGGCTAGGATCCAAATCCATCCAATCGCATTGATAGCCCAGGAAGAACCAACCAATCACTTGTCAGCAAGCTCCCTGAGCGGGAACGTCCGTAATTGGTCCTTATGCATACAACCTTATTGGTTGGTAAATGTACAGTAGGCGTGGCTACATTAGCCGGGAGAGTTTAAAAGCAGGACAGCTGCAGTGTAAAAGCTGTTCTGGCTATCAGATGTTGATCCGTGTTGGAGTTGTGTTCCCGTTGATGAATAAAGCTGAATCTTTGCTGAATCACTCTCCGACTACTTTGTTAAGCGAGCGACTTAACACCTACAGTGCAGATTTTCCTCCCAAGGTTAAAGGTGAAGGTTTCCCTTGCTCAAAAGCCAGTCTAATCAGACTCTAGGGGGCGGTGCTCATCTCCGTTTCCAAGCCGAAGAGCCAGTGCTGTCCAAAGACTGGTCATGTGGCCAGCATGGCTAAACACTGAGGTGCACAGAACACCAACCCAAGGTCACCTGGAGGCAGTCCAGCAAACCGCAGGAAGAAGACTACCATTGCCACATTCCCCCTAGCCCCATGAACTTGTGTTGCCCCAGAAAAGGGAGAGGCAGAGGGAGGGAGCCTTGGTAGCGTGTGCGGCTGTGGGAGATGAGTCCGGCAGCCCTCTTTTTCTCCTTCATTTTGCTTCCATGGTTCGTGGCTGATACAGTAATGTGCCCAAGGCAGAACAGGGGAGAACAGTATTGTAAGCTGCTTTGGGTCACCAAAAGGGCAGGATGTAAATGAACTGAGACAGAACATGCGGCATTCGGCATCGAAGAGTGCTTAGAGCGTCAGAGCAGGAGACCCAGGTTCGAATCCCCACTCTGCTGTTGAAACTTGCTCCGTGACCTGGGGCCAGTCACACACACTCAGCCTGTCCTACCTCACAGGGCTGTTGCTGTGAGGATCAGATGAAGGAGGGGAAATGTTGGTTGCTTTAGGGTTGCTGGGTGCCCCCTGGCCAGCAGCAGAAGATTGGGGGGGGGGGTAGAGTTGCCAGATCTAGGCTGAGAAACTCCTGGGGATTTGGGGATGGAGCCTGGGTAGGGCAGGAACCTCAGTGGGGTCCAGTGCCACAGAGTCCACCCTCCCAAGCAACCATTTTCTCCAGGGGAAGGAGTTGTAATTCCCCAGGTCCCACCTGGAGGCTGGCATGCCTCTTTGGGCTAGAGAGAAAAGCAGGTCTCAAGTGCCTTCATTAAATTAAGGCAGAGCATGTTGCATTCAGGGCAATTTAGGCCTTGCATCTCTTTCATAATCGTGGTCATGGTTGCTTAACGTATAAGCCTATTTAAAAAAAAAATCCATTGTCCTTGGTACATCTGAGCTGCCTCTGTATGGAAAGAAAATCGTTGGTCGGTCTAACGCGGAGTCGTCCACTTGACCTGTCAGCGGCCCGATAGGTTCTTGGATGAGATTCCTTTCCCACCACCTGCCAACTGAGATCTTTTTTCACCCCAGGGTTAGCAAAGACTGAAGCGGGTACCTTGCAGCTTGCATTTTGCGTGCCAATCACTGCTCGTCCGTACGCTGCTGCAGTTGGTAGCCCTGTAAGCCGCTGGCATTTAAATCCCTGCTCGACTCAGTGTTGGAATGAAGGGTTCTGACTCCTCTGTCTTCCTTCCCCTCCTCCAGACTGTCACCATGTCTGTGTCGCACAGTTCTAAGCTGAACAAGGTGGTCCGAGACCAGTACATGAAGCTGCCCCAGGGAGACAAGGTGCTGGTCACCTATGTCTGGATCGACGGCAGTGGAGAAGGAGTTCGCTGTAAAACCAGAACCTTGAACCAGGAACCAAAATGCATTGAAGGTAAGGCTGGGTGTGGCTTTCCCCATCTTGGGTGGCCTCCTTGGACCCTGGGGGAGGGGCAGGCAGCATTGAATGCTCTGGCCGTTCTCCGTCAACGCTTGGCAAAATACTGTGGCGGCCGGGCTAGCTGGCTGGGCACCCCGTGCTCCAGAAAGCGCATTGCTGCAAGTGCTAGGGTGCTCCGTGGCCATGGATGGGTTTCCTGGCTCCAGGCGACAGGGTGATCTTTTGCTTTCCTCTGGTCAGAAAGCTCCTCCGATAACAACTTGCAGCTTTTGGCTAATCTTTGTAAGGAGCCCAAGTGTGTGTTTGTGTGTGCGCATGGGCCTTTGCATGCTTAGTGACCTTGCTTCTCCCACAAAGGGGCAGAGGGGCTTCTGTTTAGGCTGCTGTGCTGACTTTTGGAGCACCTGTGAGATGCAGGGCAGCTGTGAGGGCATTTCCCCCTCCCCTCCAGCCTTGAGCAGGGCAGGCGCTGTTGCCAGAATGCAGACATGTTGCACCCGCTGACAGTGAGCTGGGAAATACACCTGTGACCTCCTGGGCTTTGGTCTCTGTTGCATGCTTAGACTCCCACGTCTGTCTGTCTCTTTAATAGTCATCGTTGTAATATTGCAGGGTAAGGTAGGTATAACAAAAGCAGGTCCCTGCTCCAAGGAGTTTACAATCTAAGTTTTATCAGAGGGGACAGGAAAGAGAAAATACAAAATGTGCTTTCTGTACACCTCCTAACCTTCCCTCCAGTAGTGGCTTGAACACAAAGGGATACACTAAAATACAGAGGTATTTATTTTTCAGGAGAGTATATTACAGTGGTGGCAAACCTATGGCACGGGTGCCAGAGGTGGCACTCAGAGCCCTCTCTGTGGGCACACGTGCCATCGCCCCAGCCAGGCCCAGACCATCATTAAAGTGTTGAATTCTCTGCCAAATAATTTTAAGTAAATGAAAGCATTTGGGATTGCTTTCCTTACTTTGTTTGGATCATCTTAAGTTAATGTATGAGTTGTTTTTTCTAAAGTAAAACCTCAGTATTCAGGTTAAATTGCCGTGTTGGCACTTTGCGATAAATAAATGGGTTATGGGTTGCAGTTTGGGCACTCGGTCTCTAAAAGGTTCGCCATCACTGATATATTAGAATACCGAATGTAACTCTAGGAATACTGGAATGTTCTGCTGACATAACCCCTGCACCCACCTCAAAAAAGAAAGAAAGGAAATGCTGTTAAGTTACCTCCACGCCTGAGAGGAGATGAATGGAGAGTCTCAGTTTACTTCCCACAACCGGAAACCGTTACACATTTATCCCGTTTTGACATATTTATTGCTTTGCTGTCCTTCCCCCCCTTAATTAAATCAAAGCAACTGTTGACCTTATAATCTTAGCTTGTTGTTTAGATTTGTCGTTGCATATCATCTTTATCATGTTACATGTTAAATTGCTGTGCAGCCTCTGTCTATAAGTTTGAACTCTACCTTCCACTCCAATGTATCTGAAGAAGTGTGCCTTGCACACGAAGGTTCATACCTTGAATAAACCTTTCTTGGTCTTAAAGGTGCCACTGGACTCTAGATTTGTTCTGCAAGGGGATACCATTATCTATGGCTGCTCTTTTCTAATCTTGGTTTGTCCCCTAACTCACACAGGCCTGTTGTAAGGACTAGAAACTTGTAGAGGCCTTGAACAGCTGGATAAACATGCTGGCGCCTGGCAGCCTGGTTTTGTTTTTCTTGCTTAGCCTTGCCCAATGGCTCTGGTAGCCTCGCATTGCAGCTTGGGGAGTCTTAATTATAGTGGGGATGGGGCTGTGGCCTTTACCCACTGACGCAAAACAGTGTTGCAACACTTGTGAGCAATTGCACGGCTTTTGGTCCTGACCAAAAGGTCCGAGAGCCGGTCTGGTGTAGGCCACCTGACTTCAAGCTCTTGTGCAGTCAGTGCAGCTCACAGGGAGATTTTTGGGCCAGCCGCTCTCTCTTTCTGGCTAACCTACCTGACAAGTTGTTGTGAAGATAAAATGGATGGGGGGGGGGAACTGTACATGCTGCTCTGAGGAGGATGGGATAAAATGGGATGAATACAAAGTAGGACTGGGCTTTTGCTTCTTGGGCCAGAGCAATAGTGTGGTGTCTAAAAAGAGAATCAACGTTAAACTTTACAGGGAAATATCCCCTTGAGGTGCAGGATCCTTACTAACCCGATATTGGCTAGGCAGAGTCCGCACAGATGACTCTGAATTGGAAAGTCTGGCTCCGACAGAGTGGAACACGGTACTTTGCTATTATGTGAAGAAGTCAGGGGGAAGTCCTTGGGCTCCTGCACTCTCTCCTTGCCCAGCTAGATACTGAAGACTTCTTCGTTCTGGCTGAATCCTGGTTTGCAGGGAGAAGGACAAGCAGTCAAAGGGGAGCAGAGGGGAGATGAATTCTTTCAGCCCATTCCTATCTCGATCAACTGTGGTTTGGTGTTATGCCTGTACTGTCCCATAGGGGCTGCATTCAGACTTGCAACAAACTCTGGTTTCTGCCACAAACTCCTTACACTACCAGGCTTTATGTGACGACTACCACCCCCGGTATGTTGTCATCTTGCTGTGTCTGTGCCTCCCATTAGGGAGGTTGTTGGCCCCGTGGCCAAAACAAGGACAGTGCTACTGAACAAACGGTGGTTTGTGGATTCTGATGTGGCAGCGAACCACAGTTTTTGTAAAGTGGTTAACAAACGAGCTACAGATCCTAGTTTTGAAATCCTGTTTTGGTGCCATCTAGCAAGCCATAGTTTGCTAGATGTTGCAACTTCCTATGTGTGGTCAAACAGTGGCTTATGAACGACAGCTCTGACAACATCTGAATGCAGCTGGACTCTTTTGGGGGCCAGTCTGTTAACCTGTTGGGGGTTCTATTAAGGATTCTTAAGATCTTCCCCTTTTCAACTCTCCTGTAGATGTGCCTGAATGGAATTTCGACGGATCCAGCACAGACCAAGCAGAAGGCTCTAACAGCGACATGTTCCTGATACCCGTCAGAATGTTCCGAGACCCCTTTTGTCTTGATCCCAACAAGCTCGTGTTGTGTGAAGTCCTGAAATACAATCGAAAACATGCAGGTGCGCCTTCTTGATGGTCTCCCCCCCCCCCCCAAATCCTGTGATTCAGGCTTTTCTGGCCACTGGAAGGGGGTTGAGGGCAGGTGGCTTGCATGCCTCATTAAACAGGAAACTCTCTTGCATGTGGCTGCTAAAAGGCCCCTCGGGAAAGTGACCAGGGCCTGTTGCATTGAAAGGATCATCTTCTGCAGGCTAGATGAGTCCGCTTCCTTGAGAGTCAGACCACGGGTCCATCTAGCTCATCATTGTCTGCTTTCACTAGCAGTGGCTCTAAAGGGTACTAGGCAGAGAAGCGTATTTCCTGACACCTGTTCCTTGAAACCCTTTAACTGCAGGTGCCGAATTGAACCATCAAAGTGCAGAGTATATGTGCACGGAGTTGCATCCCTCTCCTTGCCAAAAGATTAGTGGGCAAAGCCATGTATATATGTACATATATAATATATGTAAAGCAACCTTCTACCATGTCAGACAGCTAGTCGATCCAGCTGCAGTCCAGCTGTGCTGATGGGTGGTGGCTTTCAAAGGTCTTGGGCAGAGAGGGGTCTTTAAAGACAGCTCCTCCCTGAGATCCTTTACCTGGAGACGGCAAGGGTTGGATCTGGCATCTTCTGCATGCAAAGAACCCCTGAGCTATGTTCCTTCCCTTGGAGACTGTCTTGTGAGGGTTGCTGATCCCCCTCAAGAGATGGGTATTGGGTCTTTATGCTGGTGGTGCTCAGCTAGTAAGTGAAATTAGTGCCGGATTGGAAGCTTGAACTAAGAAGCGAGTATTAGGGTGTCCTTATTTTAGTCAAGACTGCGAGTTGAGAGTTGAATCTCAAGGCCTTGTGATTCAACCTTCTATTCCCATTACATGCCTCCAAGACTCCTTTCATAGATTGCACCAATCTTAGAAAGAATGCAGGTCTAAAGGGTCAGCCCCCCCCCCATCACATTTCCCCCCTCTTCTGCTCCCGGCATGTTGGCCGAAACCCATAAAGTTGGTGGCATTCTTCTCCGAGGACAACATACATGGAGCCTCTCCCTCCCTCCCTTCGGAAGCCCTCTGCAAAGTGCGTTACTAGGCTCAACTGGCTAGAAAGGCAGAGGCGCAAGCAGTGAGCCGAGGGGCCTGGATAGCTTTTGGTTTGTGAGCCCCCCTAGTTGCTGACCAGCTTCTGGGATCAAATCTCTCTCTTTGTGCCAGACTTCTCCCAAATGCAGAGTGTGGCTTGGAACTTTGCTCATAAACGCACCAGCTGGAGCTGTGCTGTTGAATTACATGGCTTGTAAGCCCTGTTGAGGAGGGCAGACTAGAAAGGCTCTGGATTCAGGTTTAATCTCTGCTGTGCTTTTGCTCAGTGGCCCTTCAGTGAGTTAAAGGCCCCCTCCCTGTTGCAAAATAAAAGGGCCTAATATCTTGCACGGCTATTTCTGTGATAACGTGCCTTGAGCAAAGAGAACCACGGTACAGTTTGCATATGTGTGTTGAGTTTAAACAGGTTCATATCTGCTTCATTTGCTTTGAGGCCAGAGGCACCTGATCAGTGTGGTTGTAAAGGTTAGAACAGGGGTGTCGGACTCATTTGTTATGAGGGCCAGATCTGGCATAAATGAGACCTCGTTGGGCCAAGCCATGTGTGTCATAAAAAGGAATGCCAGTTAGCGGAGATATAAACTTTATAAAGGACACACAAAGACTTTTTTTAACTTAAAATAAAAACATGCTTGAACATTAGCTCTGTAAGCTGCAAACCTACTTTTGATGTGTTGACATTCACCACAGAAATCTCATGCTCAGAGTTCTGAGTCTAGGACCCAGGTTAAAACATGAAATGGCTGAGTGATTAAGAGAGTCTGGCGAAGCAAGCTATGATGTAGCAGCAGAACTGGAAGCAGGAGGTGGCCATCTCCACTGCGGGCCTGATGAAAGCCCTCCGGGGGCCTGATCCGGCCCCCAGGCCACATGTTTGACACCCCTGGGTTGAGACAAGGTTCTGGGAGTCCTGGATTCAAGTTCTCATTCAGACGTGAAGCTGGCTTAACTCAGGCATGTTACACTCTCTCTCTCAGCCTGGTCTGCATGAAAGGGTGGCTGGAAGGAGAAATGAGTGAGGGGTGGCATAGGCCATCCTGAGCTCCCTGGAGGAAAGGCCCCATAAAGATATTGTGAAGTAATAGTTGTGCTACGTTTCGGTGTGTGTGTTTTTGTTTTCTCAAAAGCTTATTCTGGAATATGAGTCCACTATCCCACGCATAACCTTTTTTCCTGACCTCAAAATAGCTTCGATTAAGACCAACTGAGGAGTCTTGAAGTGAGCAAGGTCCTCTTCGGTTACTCTTCAGAAACACCTTTGTCTTCAGACTTGGCTCGTTATTGGCACTGTGCCAATGAAACTTTAGGGGGGGGGAGGGAACACCCTTCTGCAAGGATGTAAAAGCAGAAGTTCTGAGGAGTCATAACGGACTAAACGGTTCCCGCAAATTAGTAGATAACCGGGGGCAGGTATCTAAAATAAAACGTGCTTCTTGTCTCCCTGCCCCCCCCCCACACACACATTCTTTCATGTCCCAGCATAGCCACAAAAGGGAACAAGAGGTAGGGCTGTACAGGCCGGAGGAGGCTAGTGCAAAGCGGCTACGCTTAGAGGAGCCACCAGAATAGAAAGCCAATTGAAACCACCCTGATCGTGTCCTTTAACCCCTTCCTTCTAGCGCTCTGCCTGGGGAGCTTGTTACAACAAGAGCTAAATCTGCCATGAGGAAATAGAGCTGTCTCCACGGTGCCTAAATTATGTAAATACGATGGCTATTTCTGGGTAGAATATTTCATCGTTGGGGTGCCGCCACCCTAAAGGCCTGGTCACCATCCTCCTGGCCCTCAAAGGAGCAAGGCCTCTGACTCTTTTTAAAAAAAAACCCAAATAAGTAAGCTCATAAGGAGAAGGAAGGTGGCGTGGTGTAGTCAGATCTCTGAAATGAAGCAGGGTCATCCCTGGTCAGTACTTGGAGAGACTGCAGTGGAAGGCCAGGGCCAACCACCTCTTCTTCTCACTCGCCTTGAAAGTCCCTTGCCGGGGTCACCGTAGGCCCTTGATGGCCCTTTCCACTTGCACAAGCTCGTAAGGAGGGGGTGGGTCCTTGCCAAAAAGAAGAGCCGCACCTGTGTTGAATACAGCCCGTAACAGGTCACCTGAGGAGTGGGGCAGAGTATCATTCCCGCCTCCTCTTTGAGCTCACCTTCTCTGTTTGGAACCCTCTCCTCTGCAGAGACCAATTTGAGGAACACCTGCAAGAAGATCATGGACCTGGTGGAGAACAGCCACCCTTGGTTTGGGATGGAGCAGGAGTACACCTTGCTGGGCATCAACGGGCACCCTTACGGTTGGCCTGAAAACGGCTTTCCGGGACCCCAAGGTAAGAGGGAGGCTTTCGACCAGTGCTCCCTCCAAGCTGAGTTAGTGTGAGCCAGCTCACAGTTTTTTAGCCTCCAGCTCACACATATTTGTCTTAGCTCAGGAAGGATGGCCCCAGAGCAAACTAATTGGTGCAGTGAGCCAAATTGCTCACTCACAGACTTTAATGCCAGTAGAAGAAGAAGAGATTGGATTTATACCCTGCCATTCACTACCCATAGGTGTCTCAGAGCGGCTTACAAACTCCTTTCCCTTCCCCTCCCCACAACAGACACCCAGTGAGGTAGGTGGGTCTAAGAGAACTCTTGACAGAAACTGCTCTTTTTTCAAGAACAGCTCTTGTCAGAGCTACGGCTTGCCCAAGGCCATCCAGCCAGGTGCAAGTGGAGGAGTGGGGAATCAAACCCGGTTCTCCCAGATTAGTGTCCGCGCACTTAACCACGACACCAAACGGTAGCTCACAAAGTAAAATGTTTTGCTCACAAGACTCCACACAGCTTAGAGGGAGTCTTGCTTTCGACCTTAAGGAATAAATGAGCCGCCATTGGGTGCACATTGTGGAGTGGTGAATGCGTGGATCTGCCCTATGCTGAATCAGACCCTTGGTCCATCATTATTGTCTACTCAGACTGGCAGCAGCTCTCAGTGGTCTCAAGGCAGAGGACTTTCTCATCACCTACTGCCTGGTCCTTTTGAGGTGCCGGGGATTGAACCTGGGACCTTCTGCATGCTAAGCAGATGCTCTGCCACTGAGCCACAGAACATCCCCTACATAGCCGGCTGTCCCTCTGACTGTAAAGTTTGAATGAAAAATGTCTCGCTCTTATGATGGTGGAGGTAAGCTTACAGATTGGGCAGTGCTTTGCAAAGCTCCTGGATCCGAAGACTGTGGCTGTTGTACAGGCGAAGCCAACTCAGGGCAGTGTGTTGGAACTCCCAGGATTGGCTTGTCTCGTGCAGAATTCAAAATACCTCCGATTAAGTTGTCTTAAGGGCTGATTCAGATATTGCACCAAAGGTTGATTTGGCCTTACACAGGTGAACCTGGGGGTTCTGCACACTCTTCTGCTGGGAGTGTAGAGTCGTGGCTCCGTGGGGGGGGGGAGCCCCTCCTGCAAGTGCAGGTTCACTCCCTGGCATCTCCAGCGAAAGGACCTTGGCTGGCGGGCCTGAGGTCGGCTGCCAGTTGGCTGCCAGTTGGGGGAGACGGGGCCGCGGTGGCTGGACCAGTGGAGTGACTCGACAGATGAGGCAGCTTTAGATGTTGACCTCCAGTTGCCGGGGTAATTGCAGTGCGCACATGCTTGGATTCTGTTTCTATAAGGGGAGGAGGGCTAAGAGGGGGAAATGGGGTTGTACCAAAGGAAAAATGGGGTTTTAAGAAGGGTTACGAAAAAACTGAGAACATCACACAGGCCAGGTCTTTCCCCCACACCGTCAGTTCCAGAAGGCTGGGGGGGGCAGCTCCAGGAAGCAGAAAGCATCCTGTGAGCAAACCCCCCCCCCCCATTTGAGGGGGCTGACCCCTCTGAGGCTGCAAAAGCTCACCAAAAGAGGGAGGAAGGGAGAACAATGGGGCTGTGTGTGTGTGTATTCATACCGCACTTTTTATCCCCACAACAATCCTGTGAGACTAGGCTGAGAGTGTACAGCTGGCCCAGGGTCACCTTGCAATCTTCCATGGCAGAGTGGTCTTCGAGAGTCTAGTCTGACACTCTTTACTACTTTTGGTATTGTAGGCGTTCTGCCATCCTTGTAGCTAGTACAAGGATAAGTGCCAAGTTCTACATCTGGGTAACAAAAACGAGGAACACCCATACTGGATGGGGGATACACTTCTGGGTAGCAGTGTATGTGAAAAAGATCTTGGGGTACGGGTGAGCCAAAAGTTAAATATGAGCAGCCAGTGTGATGCAGCGACAAAAAAGGCTAATGCAATCTTGGGGTGTATCAACAAAGACATAACATCCACATCGCAAGATGTCGTAGTCCCGCTGTACACTGCATTGGTCAGGCTGCACCTGGTGTATTGTGTGTGGTTCTGGTGGCCTCACGTCAAAAAGGATGTGGACAGAATGGAGCGGGTGCAGAGGAGAGCGACGAGGATGATCAAGGGCCTGGAGACCAAGCCCTATGAGGAAAGGCTGAAGGACTTGGGAATGTTCAGTGTGGAGAAGAGGACATTGAGGGGGGACAGGATTGCTCTCTTGAAGTATTTGAAGGGCTGTCACTTCTTAGAGGAGGGCAGGGAGCTGTTCCTGTTGGTAGAAGAGGAGAGGACTCGCAATCATGGGCAGGAAGGTACCGCCTGGATATTAGGAAAAGCTTTTTCACAGTAAGAATAGTTCAGCAATAGAACCAGCTGCCTAGGGTGGTGGTGAGCTCCCCCTCACTGGCAGTCTTTAAGGACAAACACTTGTCAGAGATGCCCGAGGCTGATCCTGCATTGAGCAGGGGGTTGGACTAGATGGCCTGTATGGCCCCTTCCAGCTCCGTGACTCTGTGGTTCTACTGCAGTGAATGTGAAGGATGTGAAGGGTTAACCAGCCTAGGCCAAACTCTCTGTTCATGCTGATATCTGTAACAATCTCTTCCAGGGCCCTATTATTGTGGGGTCGGCGCAGACAAAGTCTATGGGCGTGACATCGTGGAATCCCACTACAAGGCCTGTCTCTACGCTGGCGTGAAGATCTGTGGCACCAATGCCGAGGTCATGCCCTCCCAGGTATTTGTTTGTGATGGGGAGAATGTCTCCTGGGGGGAGGGGGGGCTTCCACAAGCAGCCAAGGATGCTTCGAGGGAAGCCTAGAAGAAAGCAGTGGATATTTCTCAGCCGCTGATATTGGCGGGGGGACCGGAGGACAGCTGCCTGAAGGGTTGGGGCCAGATGTGGCTTGGGGGGGCTGCTAGTTGGCCACTCCTGCTCTGATGTGTCTTGCTTTCCTCTAGTCTAGGAGGTTTCTGCTTCTGCCAATCTTCTCTTCCAGCCATCATCTCTCTTGGCTGTCTTGTGGTAGGTTTTCTCAGGCCGGGTAGAGGAGGCCTCCGTTGTATGAGACAACAGGGGAAACATTTTTGAGTGCTCCTGTTGTCTAGCTGAAAGGGGAGCGGCTGTAGTAGATGTCAATACAAGTATCCGGAGCTCTGCACTACTGGCAGATCCAGCGGGTTCAGGGAATGTCCTAAGTTAAGTTAATGTCCTTCAGTGATGTCCTAAGTTATACCTTCTAAATAACCTGGGGAAGGTGTTACATGGGCCTTCAGAGAGAGTGCATCAGACATGCATACCAAGTTTTTATTTGCGATCACCCCTTGATCCAAAGGAGATGCCGTGAATTAGAACGATGAACCAAAAGCCCTGACCTGGGTAGCCCAGGCAAGCCCCATCTCGTCAGATGTCGGAAGCTAAGCAGGGTCGACTGTGGTTAGTACTTGGATGGGAGACCTCCTTGGAATACCAAGTCAGGAGGAAAGGGGCAGGCTTTATTCAGCCGCCTCTCTGAATATCCTCCAGGCCTCCAACAGGGGTCAGTCACCGGAGGTCGCCATGACTTCCAGGTGCGAACACACATGCGCTTGTTCAACACACGCATACACAAAGACAAAAATACAAAAGAAGAAGAAGAAGGATGACCCAACCAATGCTCCCTCTAGGCTGCGGAGTCCTGTGAGCAAAAATTCTACTTTGTTAGCTACCAGCATTAAAGTTGTGAGCGAGCAATTTGGCTACTGCATATATTAGTTCGCTCTGGAGCCATCCTTCCTGAGCTGAGACCAAAATGTGTGAACCGGAGGCTAAAAAACTGTGAGCTAGCTCACACTAACTCAGCTTAGCGGGAACACTGAACCCAACTAGGAAGGTTCTTGACCACTGGAAACAAGAGAGAGTTTGTAGGAATCTGGGCTCCCTTTGGGATACTGAAATGAGACTGGTGTGCTCTAAGCTGTAGTTGTATTGAATAACTTCTGAACTTTAAAATATCTGATAAATGTTTTACTGGACTGGCTATCGGGATCTCTTCTGTACTGTCCCATGCTTTTGCAGACTTCCAGATCTTGTTCTGGTCATCAAGGATGGAGCTGCTATTTTTCTTGGCATTTCAGTGGTCCAACTCTTGTAGGTCCTAACTCTCCACTTGAAGGAGGGCTTTCCACATTTTCTGGTGGAGAGCCACATTTTTTTTGAACTGCTTTCTGGAAGTTAGCCTCGAGGAGAGCAAGGGCCGGCCAGGATCGTGGTGACCCAGCCTCCATCTGCTGAAAATCTAGTAACCTGAGCTTAAAAAACTAAAGAATAATGCTCTGTTCAAAACATTTTAACATCGGCAGAATCTCTTCCCTTCCTCTAGTGGGAATTCCAAGTGGGGCCATGCGAAGGCATCGAGATGGGGGATCACCTGTGGATGGCGAGGTTCATTTTGCACCGGGTGTGTGAAGACTTTGGCGTTGTGGCTACCTTGGATCCCAAGCCGATGACAGGCAACTGGAACGGGGCTGGTTGCCACACCAATTACAGCACAGAGGAAATGAGGCGCGAAGGAGGACTCAAGTGAGTGGCCTTCCTGGCCTCTGCTCATTCGATTACCTTGAGGCATCGTTGAGGGTCTGTGGGCTGAACTAAGAAAGCCAGAGCCAGTTTGGTGTGGTGATTAGGAGGGCGGATTCTGATCTGGGAGGAACCATGTTTGGTTCCCCACGCCTCCACTTGCAGCTGCTGGTGTGACCTTGGGTCAGTCATCGCTCTCTCAGAGCTGTTCTCTCAAGGGCAGTTCCTGAAAGCCCCACCTGCCTCACAGGGTGTCTGTTGTGGGGAGGGGAAGGGAAAAGGATTGTAAGCCGCTCTGCGATTCCTTCAGGTAGTGAAAGGCGGGGTATAAATCCAATCTCCTCCTTTTCTGAGTCCTGGCCAACAGTGGCTATTGTTGATCAGCTGCTTCGGGCGCACTAAATTACAGTCCGTTTACGTGCTGTATGATGGGGACTGTGGAGGAGGTAACTTGCACGTGTGAATTGTGGATTAACGGTTCCTGAACTAAGGTCTCAATGTATATATTTTTTTCCCCTCTTCGCTATTTCATATCCTTCTCTTGCGTGGGGTGATCTCCCCTCCAAGAACCAAGCACTTGTGTCCCTTCTTGGTGCAAGAGCAATGCTGGGCATCCTCAGGCCTCGCAGTGTATTTCCCCATTGCTGGGTGCCATTTGACGTCTCCATGTAAAGCGTAGAAGAAGAAGAAGAAGAAGAGATTGGATCTATACCCCACCCTTCACTACCCAAAGGTGTCTCAGAGCGGCTTACAAACTCCTTTCCCTTCCCCTCCCCACAACAGACACCCTGTGAGGTAGGTGAGGCTGAGAGAGCTCTTGACAGAAACTGCTCTTTTTCAAGAACAGCTCTTATCAGAACTATGGCTTGCCCAAGGTCATCCAGCCAGGTGCAAGTGGAGGAGCGGGGAATCAAACCCAGTTCTCCCAGATTAGAGTCCGCGCACTTAACCACTACACCAAACCGGCGTACTGCATTTGAGTCTTCTTCAGAAGGGGGATTTTACCCCCGCCTTCCTCTGCACACAGACTCCAGGCAGCTCTGCCACTATCCTGCATTGTGCACGTTCCGTTAGGCTTCAGCCCTCAATTTCCATGTCGATGGGTGTTCATTCAAACATGATGCTCTTGCAACCGAGGCAGTTTCAGTTTGGGCTGAGGTCCATGATATTATTTAGTGTAACGCGTCCTGCCCTTTCTTTCGTCATGGAGCCCAACATGGAGGTCCTGGGAGACTTGACCCAGACCAGCTGAAGCTGCAGAAGGCTTGCTGTGTCATGTGCCTTTCAATCATAACGTGGGACCAGTATAAAAGATCCACAGCAATTAACCCACAATTCACACCAGGTATGTGTTAAGTCCCCTGTTGGTCTAGGGTCACTTGTGCACGCGCAACTCTCAGTTGCTCCACAGGGTAAAAGGGCAGCTGAACAGGGATGGGCACAAACCTCATAACAAACCTAAACTCATAACGAACGTTGCCCAGGTCGTGGTTCACAAATTGAGGTTCGTGCCCATGCCTACAGCTGAATATGTGGACTCAACTGCATTGCGAAGTATAGTGTTCTTTTTCAAAGCACCTGAGAATTCTGTTTGTAGTTAAGTCTGTGCCGGGTCTGTTCATAGCTGAGCCGCATCATCCAGGAGCAGTGTGGCTCAGGTTATCAATGCGGAGATATCAACCAGTCATTGATTATTAAGCTTTCCAGAATGGGCGAAGCAGGCCATAACTTGTACATGAATTTGCTCACTTCCTGAATTGAGGATGTGACTTTTGGTCCAACCGCTGCACTACAAAGCAGATTGATGGTCCCCTTCTTGCTCCCTCTAGGGCTGAATTTGAAAAGGTGACCAGCCATGTTTTCCTGGTGTTTTTTCTTTTGATTAGGTCTATCGAAGCTGCGATTGAGAAGCTGGGCAAACGGCACGACTACCACATCTGCGTCTATGACCCCCGAGGAGGCCAGGACAATTCCCGGAGACTGACGGGCCACCACGAGACCTCGAACATCTTTGAGTTCTCGGCTGGCGTGGCCAACCGAGGGGCCAGCATACGCATTCCCCGCCAGGTGGGCCAGGACGGGTTCGGCTACTTTGAAGACCGCCGGCCCGCTGCCAACTGTGATCCGTACGCAGTCACGGAAGCCATTGTAAGGACCACGCTCCTCAACGAAACAGGTGTCGAGACAAAAGACTATGTGGAACAGTCTAAATCAGAACGTGGTGTTCTCAAAGACTGATGTGCCTTTTCCCCCTCCCTCCCTGCAGTTTCCTAAAATGTGTGCCCTGGCCAGCTAGTAAATTTCTCTGCCGTCTTCAGAAACCTTCCTTCTGGTATTGTGACGTGGTGACTTAGAAATATATTTCTATATTTTTAGGAGAGACAAATTATTTTCCTAGCAGATCTCACCGGTTCCTGTTCTCGTTTCTTAAAGAAAAGATTGTAACGGGGGGGGGTTTCAAAGAAACTTTTTAAACAACTGAATCTATACTGTGGTTCAGGGGGACAAACGAAATTGAATCTTGTACACACGCCAGGCTGCTTCCGGGTGCCGAAGAACCTGTTCTCCCCCTTCCCTTTCTGTCTCTGTTGCAAGGAAACAATAAAGTGATGGTCTTGGCTGCTTGTCAGCCAATGCTGAAATAAAATAACTTTCCATTTCTATCTACCCATCCTTGAACTATATCCATTGGGACACAAAGCCTCTGCTACTTTTATGGAGATAATGGTTGTCATTTTAAGCAAGATGTGGGAGGTAGAGATTTTTCTAGTGGAAACGAGACAGATAACCTTGGGGGAGGGATAAAAAGAGTATCTCTCCTTATTGAGGACAGAACAAAGTTGGACTCCAGTGGCACCTTCAAGACCGACAAAGTTTTATTCACAGTATAAGCTTTCGTGTGCAAGCACCAACATGGCTACCCCAACTGAATTGATAGACAATGGGTCCTATAATGATCATTAGCCATGATGGCTGAATCGAACCTCCAGAGGTGGGTTTGAAACTGAACATGAATACCAGTTTTGGGGAGGGGATAGCCACAGTGAGAGGCTTTATGGTGCATCCAGCTAGGATGCTGCACTGGATCAGACCATTGGTTTGATCCAGCCAATGTGTTTCTTAACTGTCCTGTTCGGTGTGAGTTGCCCACCACTGTGTTTCCACAACTGGCCATGGACCATTTGTTGTTAAAGGCAGAAAAAGTAAACAAGAGCTGCCTCCTCTCTCCTGGGATTTGTCCAGGAAAACTACCCGAGGACCTGCCTCCTCTCACTCATTCTGCTGTCTTGACTGGCTCCCCAAACTTTACCCCTCAAAACTGTAGCACCTGAGCATTGTTTCTCCCCTCTTGCCCTTGGGGCATTGCAGCAAGCGCCTAGGACCACAGACCTACGTTGCCTCTGCATCCCTCACACCTGTCCAGAAGGGAATGTTGCAATAATGTTGGCTGGAGATCTGAGCTGAGCTTCGGAGCCGGGCTGCCGCCTAAAGATGACTGTTCCCGAGCAGCAGCTCCCTGGAGTACTGAAACAGCTACTTTGAATGTATTTAACAGATTTATATCCTGCCTTAATCTCAGGGTATTTTATTTATTTATTCAGCTTATACCCTGCCCACCCCACAAAACAGATTCAGGGCGGCTTACGTTCATTAAAACATATTAGATAATAGATCGCAATTAAAATCTGATAAAATCAACATAAAACAATTCAATTTCAGTAATAATACTAAGAAGTGCTGTCGATGTTTCGCTAATTGTAGAAGATGGCATACTTTTTGCAAGTTTTCCCGTTTCTCAATGTCCTTCACACAGGCCGGCCATCGTAGCCAAGAGTTGGTGGTGAATAGTGGGGGTGGCTCCTAGTTGCAAGGGTAGTTAGCAAAATTGCAAGGACAAAAAGAACATCGCGAGTGTCCTTCACCTTCCTGAAGGTGGGATTCTTGCATTCCATCGTTCTCGTAAGGGAGTGCAGCTAGTCTGAAACGAACACCACACCCCATGCAATCTTGTTTTGTATTTTTTCATGTTTGTGTGAGTGAGTGTGTGCACCTGGAAGTCATGGTGACCTCTGGTGACAGACCCCCTACTGGGAGGCAAGGGCAGGCTTCATTCAGCCACCTCTCTGAATATCCTCCAAACCCCCAGTAGGGGTCTGGAGGATATTCAGAGAGGTGGCTGAATGAAGCCTGCCCTTGCCTCCCACCTTTGGTATTCCAAGGAGGTCTCCCATCCAAGGACTTGCCAGAGTTGGCCCTGCTCAGCTTCTGAGATCGGGCTTGCCTGGGCTATCCAGGTCAGGGTTTTATTTTTCTTTCTTCCCACACCCGATGAAGTCTTGGCTGCCTTATCCATGAATGGCTATAAGGCAGCCAAGACCTTTTTCTGAACTGGGTGCGGAAAACAGTCCTGGACTAGGTGTCCTGCTGGCTCTGTTTATCCCGAGCCAGTATTTCCTTGTGGCGGTGAGCCAGCTGAGCTGACTTCTTGCAAAAGAGGCTTTGAGAAAAGGAGGTCCTTGCCGATGCTCAAGCTGGGAAATGTTGCAAAATGCTTTGTTCCTCGTAGACCACCAGGAGGGTACCTTGAATGACTCCCCTGGGACTGAGGGCACGGAGAGAACACCTCCATCTGCCTCCTATTGAATCAGACCCTTCGTCCATCCAGGTCAGTATTTGTCTACCGAGATTGGCAGCAACTCTCCGGGGTCTCAGGCAGGTGTCTTTTCCTACCACCTTTTGTGTGGTCCTTTTAACTGGAGATGCTGGGGATGGAACCTGGGACCTTCTGCACGCCAAGCAGAGGCTCTGCCACTGACCCATGGCCCCTCCTCCTGGATGAGAATAGCTACCCAGCATTTGGGTTGGACTTAACAGCTTGGCTTTGGGGATGGGGGCACAAACTGTTGTCCCTCTTAATTAACATCCTGCTATTCTGTGTTCGAGGAGCTGTGGTGCCTCAAGTGGTTAAGACGCTGAACTGCAGGCTGTGGAAGGTCAGTAGTTCAGCAGTTCGAGAACCGAGTTGCCGCATGATGGAGTGAGCTCCCATCTCTAGTTCCAGCTCCTGCCAACCTAGCAGTTCGAAAGCAAGAAATTGCAAGTAGATAAATAGGTACCACTTCGGTGGGAAGGTAACAGCGTTCTGTGCGCCTTGGTGTTTAGTCATGCCGGCCACATGACCACGGAAATGTCTTCGGACAGCGCTGGCTCTTTGGCTTTGAAACGGAGATGAGCACGGCAACCCTAGAGTCGGATTCGACTGGCTTTCGAGCAAGGGAACCTTTACCTTTACCTATTCTGTGTTCATCCCCCAATTAGGGCAGAGGCTGTATAAGTTGAAGCCTCTTTGCTGGTCACTCCGCAGCAGGGACAACAAAACGCGTTCCTCAAGCATGCGGGATGGGACCTACACTGGGCAAGAGTTTGCTGAAGAGACTGGATTTATACCCCACCCTTCACTCGAAGCCTCAGAGCGGTTTACAGTCTCCTTTCCGTTTCCTCTCCCCACAACAGACACCCTGTGAGGTAGGTGGGGCTGAGAGAACGGCTCCTTGAGAGAACAGTGCTGAGAAAACTGTGAATGACCCAAGGTCACCCAGCAGCTGCACGCAGAGGAGTGGGGAATCGAACCCGGTTCTCCAGATTAGAGTCCGCCGCTCTTAACCACTGCACCAGACTGGAAGGGTGGCTGGCTGGCAGCCAGGGCAAGAGCCACTGCTCATCCCCACTGCCTAACAATGCAAATAAACTCGACGTGAGGTTGCCTTGCCATAGATGTGGTATAGTCACCCACCAGCAGGAGGGGAGAGAGGCTGGAGTGCCAAAGTGGACCGAAGCAATGCAAGGGTATAGCCAGCCCCCGCTGTCTGCTGTGGTTCTGCGGGAGAGCAGACATAATGCAGAACTTAGTTGTTGGGGCTCCTGTCCACTTGAGTTCCTGGCTCTCCCTGCGGTTAACAAAACCAAAATATATTCTGCAAGTAAGAGCTTGTGCCGAATTTCTATCGGGTACATCTGTGCAGATACGTATCGGGAGAAGCTGCCTGGTGAGATGTGCATTGATGCTAGGAAGCTGCACAGATGTGCTATCGATGGGTCGAGGGAAGCTGCTTCTCTTGCTCCAGTTTGTCCAGAAGTGGCACATCTGTCATTGTCACTTGCTCTGCAGGGGCAAGGAGGGTGTTATCTTCTAGCGAGGATGCGAGGGGCCCTGCCCTGGTTTCCTGGTTTCCAGTTGGAGGTACTATGTGCTGCCTGGCAGAGCAGGGAAAAGTAGGTACTGCTCGGAGCGCAGAGAACATGGGAAAGAACAGCACGTAACTTTCTGATCGTGCAGTTTTTGGAGGACTCTAGGAAAGTTTTGGGGTGAGCTCACCTGCTGTGGGATTCTTCTTTCTTCTGCCCCAGCAAGTCCATCATTTGTGTGTCCCGCGACCTCCACCCCCGCTTGGAGGGGTGCTGGCCAAGTGGCTACAAGCAGCCGATCTGCGTTCCAGGCTTTTGTTTTCCCCTTTTCCCTTATGATCTCATTTGTGAGTTTGTCGCATGTCTGATGGACGACGGTTGTTGGGTCACTTTCATTGGTTCTGGTCTTAGTCCAGAAGTTCAGATACAAATTTTTTTAAAAAAGCTATTTCCATTATTTGGAAAAACTGGATGTGCCACTTTTCTGGCCCATTAGCTGCTTGTTTGCCGAGCCTGTCTGTCTGCCTGCCTTACAGGACAGCTCTGCCTTGCTTGCCTTCAGATAATTCTCAGCGACAAAGCCCGCTAGGCGGCCTTTTCCACAACTCTGCAAAGTAAGTGGCTTTGCTATTCCCATTTTTGTAGGTGGGACCTCCTACATGATTGCTGGGATAATGCAATGGGTGAGCTGACACCTATCATGAGAGCCACTGGCAGGGGTCATTTTGTAGAAAAAGAGGTGCAGGAGCTCATTAGCATTACTCATTAGCATTACTCATTAGCATTACTCATTAGCATTACTCATTAGCATTACTCATTAGCATTACTCATTAGCATTACTCATTAGCATTACTCATTAGCATTACTCATTAGCATTACTCATTAGCATTACTCATTAGCATTACTCATTAGCATTACTCATTAGCATTACTCATTAGCATTACTCATTAGCATTACTCATTAGCATAACCGGAAGTGTGTCAGAAGGCAAGGGGGGGGGCTCTGCAACTTACCTGGCTGCTTCTTGGTCTGACTGAGGGCGGCTGGGAGCAGGAGGTGGGGCTTGTTGCATGTGCCCGCCCCCTGGGCTCTTTACTGCCAGAGCTCCGCTCCTGTGCGCTCCTGCAGGAAATGACCTCTGGCCACTGGCCATATCTGAGCTCAGTGGCCTCTGAAAAACTACTAGGGCTTAGCTCTGCTTGCTTCTGGCTGCCAGTGGCCAACCCAGAATGGTTCGTGTAAGTTATATGGACAGTCTACCCCTTCATACCACTAAAGGTTCTCTGGACTGTCCAAGAATTTATGGTGGGATGCGAGAACAATAAGGTGACTGTGGGTACATGGGTGGATTTGTGAATGAGCACCAGCCAGGGAGGGCATAGAGCACCGTCGGCCGTAAGATCATCCTCTTTTTTAATTGAG